TCTTAGAACTTGTGACAAATGTCGCAATTTTTACCTTCAAACTGCTCCCAATAGTTTGCCAAAGGACAAGACAAACGTGATAACAATTGTACAGTTCATATTATTCTCCATTCCGAGTTTGATGCAGCCATAAAGATAGGACAGAAGGAAGTCTTCCTCCTAAGATACAGCCCTGAATCAACAGTGACCGGGTTTGGGCAACACAATGACCTACCATGGTTTATAACATGTGGTGGATTAATGTTTCTCTGAAGCTGGCACTGTTGCCATGGGACAACTTATAAACCGTCCCACTTATCCAAGGCTTGTACTAGGGTTAACTGAACCCCCATGGCTTAACACATCATTCAAACCAGGATGACCTGATAAGTTCTGGTCAAGTCCTAAATTAAGGGCATCCCTTGACCAGAGCCCCAAAACAAGCTTGTCACTCTGGCCAAGGAGTTCTAGCTGAGGGCAGCTGGACTTTCTGGGCTCCTATGGATGCAGGGCGAAGAACAGGATTGTGCACAAGGCATCCTGCTCTCCCTCTGGTGGCAGGAGGAAACCAGGGAAGCTGCAGCCTGCGCAGGCCCAGCTACATGCTGAAGCAGAGCCAGCCACTCGGTCCAGCTTCCTCAGAAAGAAGCCAAGTCAAGCCGATGGATCCTGCTTGCCACTGCGTTGGTGGTGGAAGCTGGGAAGGAACTGATATGCTTCCCTGCCTCTTGAGGGCATCAAGCACACCGTCGCACCTTTCCCAAGCCTTGGGACTTGTGGCACCCACTGTGCCATATCACTATGGAGAGGCAGGGGATGGTGGGACAGGGGGCACAGTCACCAAACGCAGCCCCTGCCACCCCCCACAGCTCAGCCATGGGATGCCACATCTGTGGAGGCTGCCCAACTCATCAGCATGTTCGAGAAATTGTGTTGCACTGTGTGAAGTACGAAACTGGGGAGCTGGCTATGTTCCTGTCTGCAAATTAATCCAGGTGCCGCCCATTAGGTCACACTGTAGAGAAGTGAGCTAAGTTGCAATTTGTCAACCATGCCTAAGCCCAACTACTCAAAAGCATTCCATGATCCACCAGCTTTTCCAGCATCCCAGTTCAAACATCACAGGAGTGCCCATTCACCCCAGGAATTGTCGGGGCCAAAGGGGTGAAGGCCACTGTCAATTTGACATGGCAACAGAAATGCCGAAATGATGGCTTAGCATGGTTCAGTGCTAGTCTTACTTTTCATGAGGGCAGGAACCAGGAATGAGTATGGAATAAGTTTGTGGCAACTGTCCAGCTAAATTTACCAGTGCTTGGCATGTTGTTTGAACCTGCTCATTCTTTTACATTTCTTTCCGGTCAATTACACTGTTGAGAGAGAAACAGTGATTTACCTTCTTAGACCCTCTTAACTTTTCCTGAGTCCCTGCAAGCCACAGGTCTGTAAGACTTGAGATGCAACAGTCTGTAAAACAGGCTGTGGCTGCTACCAAAATTTATCTAGACAGAGAAACAGCTGCACAACTCTGCAACAGCAGAATTAACGACAGGGTTTAGTAAATAAGGATTTAGTAGAATGAAACTGCTGAGTAAAAGCACTGGGTGAATTTGTCACTGCATTGCTCCCATACCACCTTCAAAAACAAAAATATAGATAGAAAGGAAGGGACGGATGGCTGGAAGGAAAAAAGCAAGCAAGCATTTGTTTTTGATATGGAGCAACGCAAACATTTTCATCCACAGTTATGCCCAGAGGATACCACTGGGAGAAAGACGTTCACCATTATTTTAGTCAAATGTCAAAGTGATCAGAAGGTGGCAATTTTCTCTGTTCTGCTGATGGAACAATGCAAAGTCCCAGAATGTTTTGCTCGGTTACCAAGGTAACAGAACTGCAGTATATGAAACAGAGATCTTGATGGCAACCTAGTGTAGCTGTCTAAAAAAAGATGTACTTGGCTCATCGGTGCAGCTTCACATAGGGATGGTTTCTCTTAGGTACCTTAAAAGCACTTTGCTTTAATATGTAGACACATATACCATCCAATCCAGGAATCAGATGAAATAACTGGATTAATTTTAGACTTCTCAACCCCTGGAAAATTAATTTGAACTCCAGACTGAGTGCAGATAATCCCATGGCTAGATGGTCTCCAAGGGCCAAACCTAGATCCGTTTCAGACTGAACTGGTCAAATCTAAAATGAACTGAAAGATGCAGAAAACTCCACAAATCCAGGTTTAAGGGATTTTACTGCAACCTTTTATGTTTACTTAGCAGTTTCTGCTCCCCACTGCAAACCATTGCTGATACATACAACAGGACCCCAAGTCCCTCAGCGGATGACTGAAATCATGGATAGTAGCGAAGACTATATTATACATACTGTATGCATTTCTTTTTTCACAATTTAGTTTGTTCTTACCTCAACATACATTTTTTTCTTTCCCTATTAGATCAAGATTTTTTGCTTACAGGAAGCACTTCACTTCTCTTTGGCACTTTTCGACTTTTCTTTCACGCCAAGGTCAACTGCAGTTAACTGAAAACACAGTAACTGAGCCGGTGAATACGGGAGTCTTGCTGTGTGTGTACACTCTGAGCCCTAAGGCTGGAAATTAATGTCACTCTTGCAGTTGATTTTCTGGTGCACAATCGGGTCTGTTTAACAGTGAGGACTTTAATATTTGTCCTTTTAAAAACTAGATTTTTTTCTATCCCTCAGTTATCTATTAAAAACAAACTTAAAGAAGGTGAGAGGGCATCGGTTAAAAGCTTGAGGCAACTTCAGTCAGCCACTTCACACTAATGCAGTAACATCTAAATCCGCACAAAAAGATTGCCCTATTGCACATAAATGGATTCAATTCAAAGGATCCAAGGTAAATTAAATAATACAACCCACCCTACCTGACATGGTTTTCAAAACACATTAAAATGAAGAGCTGAATTAAACTCTTATTTCAGCCTCAGAATCTGGCTTTGAAAGATGAAAGGATACTGATTTTTTCATGAACAGGAGACACAATTATCACAATGATGTGAAGTAACGTAAGCATGCTTATTGATCAAGTCCAGGGAAATCAGGTACTTAATGCACTTATGTCATCAGGTTGTAAACATGCCTAATATCTTGTGGATTGAGATTATTGTTGCTTCTGTGTTTTTTCAATGGAATACTGATATGATGGGATGGACCAAAACGAAATATGATGGGTGAGCAAACATATCGTCCTGGAACTGAAGAGCTGAAAGGTAGCAGCACCCTTTGACCTCAGCAGTCCGCCAAGGGATGAAGAAGCATCAGGACTGGCTTTACTGTCTGCTTCCCAAAAAGATCTTCACAGCAAGGTGTGGACCAACCTACCTGCAACCAGAAAAGGAACGGCTGCCAGAAGAATCCCTTCCAGAAAGAACAATTGCTAGAACTGGGACCAACATGGTCCCATCCGTCAGCCAAAAGGAGCTGCAGCAACAATGCTTGCTTTCCTCATCTCTTTTTCCTTTTATTTGGTATCTATCACGAATTGTCTTTTCAATAGCTGTACAGTGCTTCAGAGATGTCAGGCACTTTCTAAGTGTTAAATATAATAATAATCAATAGAATATATTAATATTTACCATTTGGCTTTGTACATTGGAATGTTTACTAATACTCTTAGGAATCTTAGATATGTCAATCATAATGTGTCGGGAGCTGGGGTTCCTCCGTGCGTTCAAAATCCACAGACCTTTTCCCTTGCAATCTTTATTCCCCCGAAACCACTAAACACCCAGAATGAATCTTTGATCATGCACAGAGTGGTTTGTTGAGCCCAATCCAGTATTCACATCCAGGCACTCTCCTTATGAGCGTACCTAGGTCCCATCCTTTTGGGAGGGGCCTTTTGAACATGAGCATGCCCCCTCTCTGCATGCCAGTCCTCTAAATGGGCCACCCTCCTCCACTGTCACTGCATCAGGGAGTGTCCGCTCCTTTCTCCCTCTGATTCTTAAGCCTAGGCAGCAGCCCATGAGAAAGTGTGCCCAAAGCAGTCCTCTTTCTCACTTCCAGCAAGGTGAAGGAACACATACCACTGTGTCAATAGCATGAATGAATAAAATAATTTTAAATAAAATATTTTTTCTTTTTGTAAAAAAAAATATGTATGGACTCACTCTAGTGCCTCCCTGAAAATGCATTTTATACCCATGGGGGTGGAGCTCCCAACAAAGAAGAGGTTTGCAATTAATGTACCCTCCCTATATGCAAAGCAGCATATGAGAGGATGTGGTTGCAGCGGAAAGCATCACTAAAATTCTATTTTAAGTCACTAAGTGTACAATCCTATGCACGATTACACCCAAAAAAGACTTACAACATGGCTAGCTGGGGAGTGCTGGGAGTTTTAGAATTTTTTATTATCTAAATACGCATAGGATTACACCCTAAATAATTTTGATTTATACCTACTTCTAAAATTTCATTCATCACTTGGCACTGCTGAGTACAATCAGGCTGGCCTACCTGATTTTATCCTTCACTTGGAAAGTAAACCACAATCACAAAAGGAGGACACACACTGATAAAAAAAACCAACCACTTTTTAATAGTTCAGAAATACAGTCTATGAGAAAGGAAATAATAAATATCCAATACTAAATAATAATGTTAAGAAAGATAGTCTTGCTAAGATGACATCAAACCACATCCTGGGTTTTAGAAACTGTCTTTCAGTCCTTCCAAAACCTGCTGTGAAGAGGCATTGTTCAGGTTTTAATGCAGTACAGCCAGTATGGTGCAGCTTAGGATCATTTGGTGGAATAGACACGTTTGCTTTCATAGTGGCAGAAGCAGCTAGTTAACATTTCACAGCTTGGTCACCTAAGAGTAATCATCAGGCAACAGCAAAACCAACAGCTGGCAATACACTGGGAATGGGCTTTGCTACGAAGCACTGCAGAAGTGCCTGCCAATTCCACCTGACACTTCTGACTCCTGTGTGAAATCCCCCAACTTCCCTGCGAGGGGCTTTCAGCTTAGGAGTGCTTCCGCTTCTTTATTGCTTCCGCTTTAACAGCCAGGCTCTTTGCGCATATGGTCAGAACCACAATTAGGACTCCAACCAGGAACGTAACCACTGGCCAAAGGAAGCAGTGCAAAAGGACCGACTCATCGTGTGTGCGTCGTAACAGTACATCATCTGGTCTGTAACAGGAATGACAGGAGAATTACCGGGGGGGGGGTGGCAGGGGAGGAAAAGAGGGGCAGGAGGAAAACACAGAAGTCATCTGTTGACAGGTGGTAATCAATATGAAAAGCATGCACATCATATTGCTTATGACACTAAGAAACAATCAAGTGACGTCTTTCATTTCATCCCCTGTTTTGGTTTCTTCACAGCTGAACCCAGATGCATTATGTGCAAATTTAGCATCTTGATGAAGGATCTTGCAAACGAAATCTTTGGGCAAATGATCATGCTCTGTTGTTTTGCAAATCTTAACTAATATCCTCAAATCATTCATAGACCAGAGTCCAAGCCACCCAGAGTGCCAAGAAGTGCCACGGCTGGCACTGCAATGAATTTCAGGAGCACCGTGGCTTTAATCAATTAGCGCTGGATACTGTGCAGGTGTGTACGCAAGTCTGGCTACATCCTGTAACGAAAAGCACCTGAACCCAGAGCAAATCAATGAACCTAAATATATAAATATCTTTCTTCAACAGTGCTAGTCCTCCATCATTGGCAGAACCCACAGTTGGTGAAATCCTCTCCAGGGCAGAGATGAAGATCCTGCTGGAAGAAATTTGGTGTGTAACCCAAGCACCAATAAACAGCAGACAGGAGTGCTATGCTTAAATGTGAAGTGCAATCCCATATGAGTAACACAGAAGTACACCTCACTAGGATTTGAGGTGCTTCCAGACAAATCTCATAATAAATAAATGAAAGAAAGTCCCAATAAAATAATTAAATAAAAATTAAAACATGCATTAATGTAATTCAAAACCATGTACTGATGTAATTACTCTAGATGGCACATAACAGCAACATTTGTGTTATCACAGCTACAAACAACAGGTGAAAGTCAAGGTAGCACAGTCCTAATTTTGAATCAATTGCATCAGGACTTTCAGCTTATAAGGGGACCCATGATAATTCCAGAAAACAATTTGGAGCACAGGCAATGTGGACATAAGTTTTGAATTTGACAAAATGTCCAAGCCTATTTCTAGATTCGATTAGCCAAGACTGTTCCTAATCTTAGCTTTCCTTCTAACTTTAGAATTTCTGGTTCTTGAAAAGTCAACATTTTATTTTGCTGATTTACAGATTTGCAAAGATGTACTTTGTTTTAAAAAAGCAGCTCGAGCCAAAAAAGAGTTGCTTCCATTGAATGCTGTTCAGCAAATCTTCAAATTATCACCATTTCCAGCATTAAATGAAAATGAGAACTGCTTCCCACTTTTGAAAAATGCATTATACAGATGACACAGAGCTACTTACAAAGGCAAACGTTTTTATTCAGGGCTCAGGTTTTGGAATACTCAGAAATGGAAATCATTTAAATAAAAAAAATCTCAAGGTGAGAAAAGAACAAGAACAATTCAAAGTATATAATTCAAGATTTGAGATAACAGTTGCTGACCATGGATGTCCTCTTTCACAGTCTGGGGTTCGAAACAGGTAATTCTCTTCACCTTGAGAAGAAACTCAAGTGAGTGCTGAGCCACAGTAAGGCTAGCAATGGCTGCCCTCCCAACAATGCTGGTTGAGACTTAGGGTAGGACCTGGTTTGTTGATTGTACACACTTTGTTACATTGTTTTGAGAAAGCAGAATATAGGTAAGTAATTTAAAACACATAGGGGAATCTCAGCTGTGTTCTTCCGGATGCTCAGGTGGTTCCAGGTTAGGAGTTCTATGCTAGCTGTGCTGGCCATCCTGCTGTTCTTCAAAAGTCCTGTGTGCATTGCCCTTCACCTATATGCACAACAGAGCTGATGAACTGGAAGCCCATGGACTAATAAACAAACCACAACATCCATCAGGTCAGAAGACATAACACATTCACAGGCATATCCCATCACTACGATCGCTACCGCTATCTAACTTTCTTGTACACAGTTGTCCTGAAGAAATAATTTCTTTCATATGCGGGGACCAGAAGTCTCTCATGGAGCACCCCCATTTGCCCAGGTTTCCCCATTCGCTTCATTGAAGACAGCACTTCCATGTACACATGGAACATTCACACCACAGAGCTGTTCCCTCCTGGAAACGAATGGGTGATGCCCAGTCAAAGAGGAGCCTTGTGGGCACTTTGGAGTTCAACATGCAGGCCTGGCCACAGATCTTGGGGGTCGCTGGGCACACTGTCCTCAGCAGCCCCCTAGCATCCACTGAGACCCCCAAGTCAACAGCACTGTGCAGCTGCCCTCTCTTGCTGCCACTGGGAAAGTCCTTGAGAAAGCGCACAGAGGTGCGACAACCAGGGCCTCCCCTTGGCACTAGTGTTGCTGCCGCCGCCAGTCATTTCCCCATTCTGCTTGCAAGAGAAAAGGAAACTAGCAATGGCAGCAGGGAAAACACAAGCCCAGGTGGGCTCTGCCAGGGTGATGGCAAATGCCCCTGTGTGCCAGGTGCCGGGACTGCTCACGTTACTCTCTCAACCAAAGTGTCCTTTTGCCATATCCACACCTGGATTCAGCTTTGCCGACCTTTGCTGAGTGCTGTCCACTGGCCTTTTCTTTCAGCACGAGTGTTCTAAAGCTAACCTAGTGCCTGTTCACTTCCTCAACTCCGCTGTACAAAAGAGATGTGTTAAATTGCAGCAGGACTGTGACTTGCCCACTATGATCTTTCCAGCATGGGGTCCCTTGTCTCAATTTGGATCTGGCAGCTGGTTGTCACTCCAAAGAGCAGAGATCCAACTCAATGACAGATGCTCTACTTCATAAAACACAACCGTCTTATTACAGGAGGTCCACGTGCTTCAGCAAGTAATTATTCCAAGATGGATGACCCCAGGGTGCAACCTAGTATTTCACAGATGGTTATTATCTGCGACATGCTTTCTTTTACTAAACCCTAAACAAATATTTGTGTATAACACTTGATCCCAGCACAGGATAAAGAAGCACAAAATGGTACAGCTGCCAAGTCATAATGGAAAACAAACACTGGACTTATTTTAGCACAATAGGCGAGGAGATGTACACAACGCAAAACTACACTACCAATCACCTGTGCAGCATTAAAAAAGAGGGGGAGGATAAAGTCAACACCTGCCAAATGCCTTTCTTTGAGCAAACAGAACCTCATTCTTCACCAGGAGAGCACAATGGAACCACACTCTTTAACAGTCTGCTGTATCAACACAGCAGTGACATTTTATTCTAGCAGGCCAGCTCACACCACAAACCTGCTGGCCCAGGGACCTATCATTCCTGCGCACCTGCATCCCTGGAAAGCGGATCAAGGACTGGAAGTGTATTTTGCTGTGCATCCTGCCTTCTGCACTGTAAGGCCTTCTAATACAGGTGGTGCCAGTTTGCACCGCCTTCCAAACTCTGAAACACGTGCAGGACATTACACAGAAAACTTCCAATAGTGAGGTAACACCAGAATGTGGAACAGCTGCCTGGCATAGCTTTGACAAATTTTTTGTCATGTGTGAAACTGTGGGGAATGTCCCTACACACACATCACACCAACCTATCAAACACAGCAAGGCTACCAGGTGCCAGCTGACAGACTTTGCAACCCCAAGGTTATACAGTCTAAATAGCAAGTAGAAGAAACAAATGGGATTTCCCTGAGGCTTCGCTGTGTGTTTTCTGCACTCAAGTCAATGCATCTGGTGAAAAACTGCCTTGCTTGGGTTAACCACCAAACCTCACAAATCCCACTCCTGAAGAACGATAGTCATACTGTGCCATTTTGTAGGGGTGCCCATTAAACTGCTGCTAATGAATTCTTAGAGATGAATTACTTTCTCCCTTACTTTCTTATAAGATACCACTCACTTGATAAAGAGAAACATGGCTAAAGGCAAAATGGTACAATGCCAAGCTTGCTTTGGCCAATAAATATCAGTTTGTTAATATAAAATGCAAGGACTTCAAGAGAAGACAAAGCTGAAGCATTGTGTGATCCATTACACAGCATTACTGATCATGAAAGTAATTAAGTCTAGCACAGTGAGTCAGCACAAGATACAGGTGTGCGGAGGCTGTTTTCTTGGTCCTGTTTTTCCATATTATATTCCTGCCTATTGTCAGCAGAAGTAGGTGGGCATTATCTGACAGGGGTCTAGCTGCCACCAGACTCCTGTTTTTCTCTTGGAAAATGATCAGAGAAACACTGTCAAAGAAACGCTGCATTATACTGTGCTGAAACTGAATGCCCCACAAGTTCACCATTCAAGTGCCAAGTAAGAGCTACAACAGCAAACTGAAAATAGCCTACTTTTTGGTGTTCAGATAACAAGTGATTCAGAGATAGAGCTTTAAAATTTATATGTTTATTTTACATAGCATTATTTGTCCCAAGCCTTTGGGATGAAACAATTTACAAATTTAATAAACAGAGAAACAAACAAATGAACTATGACCCCTCACCCCTGCTCTTCAAAATAACCCAAGAAAGTACTGGCTTTCTAAGAGGCTTTGGCGAATGGGGCGGCATAGAAATTTTCTAAATAAATAAATAAACTTCAAATATATGAAGAATTTCCTGTGCCTTCCCCATCCCCCCACCTTTTTCCTCATTAGGACCAGTTAAGTTACCAGGGTCCATTCATGTCTTTCCTGTCTTTCCCCCTTTCACAGGAATAGCCAATCCATCCCAGCTCAGAGGAAATGGAAAGGATCAGGATCAGGCTTACAAGAGAGCGGGCGGGGGGGGTGGAGTCAATCCTTTCTCCCACATCAAATAAGCCTCTAACAAGAGACTCTACTCTAGGGGCCTGACCCACCAGTCTTTGAGTCTGTGTTCAAATACATGTGAAGGGAGGCACAGAACTGCTCGTTGCACTGTCCGTCATGGCAGTTCCGTATCCTTGGACCCAGGACTGACCCTTTGGACCAAAACTGGTCAGCAGTTTCTCCTGGGCAGGAAGGACTATAGGATGCCCTGTTCCTTTAATGCTGTTATTTTAGTATTACCAGAGACCAATATATACATTTTTAACAGAAAGGCTCTGTCCTCCAAAGCAATGCACACATCTGATGCACAGAAGAAAGATTTTTTTAAAGAATCATTTGTTGGTTTATTAGTTAGGGAAGTGTCTATGCAGAATCTTGCCAGAATAGCTTCCTCAGAAAGAGAGTCTGGCTTTCACTTCCCTCTCTCCAGAAAATGTGTTTCCATCCAAGGATGTATGAGAGCTTGTAGATGCACAAAGATACTTACCGGAGGTGTTGATTGAAGTAACATGTAAAAGGTTGAGAGCCAACTTCATCTTCCCAAAAAACTTGCCAGTGTGTTACGGTGTCAGTGTTTTTCTCATTCTCTCTTTCGCAGGGAGGGATATAGGAACACTGTTAGAATAAATGATAGTTAAAATAGCATAGTTTTAGCATGCAACCAAATAATGTTTCTATTTTGACCACCAGCAACAGTTCTTATAAGTAAAATTAAGGCATATGTTTCAAAACTGGGGGTGAGCAAAGAGGGCAGTTTAACTGAATAAAGTTACTGTTGTTGGCCCGTAACAATCAATGCACACTAAAATGGTCTTATCCAAGCATAGTGGTGTTCCCTCCACACACATACTTAAGTTCTAATTTTAGATAATTAGATAAAATGGGCTTAGCATATCACCCAATGCATCCTTGAACAGAAGGTGTCCTGCAACTCCCAGAATTCCCCATGCTTGCAGGAAACTTTTCTGTCTACATGTACATACAATGGCATCCTAAATCTGTTAAGAAAGTAAGACAAGTCTAGCTAGATCAAACCAAAGTCATGTCTAGCAGCATTCTGCTCCCAAGAGTGGCCAGATACTTCTCCCAGTAGTATGCCCCTCAAGTAAGAGCAACAGTCCTCCTTGAAGACTGGTGCCCAGTAACTGGCATTCAGTGGGTTGTTTTAAACTTTTTAATGATTCCCCCCCCACCCCGATTTTATTACATTGTATTGCATTTTATTGCCTATTTTATGGATTGTTGTAAACCACCCAGAGAGCTTTGACTGTGGGGCTGTACAGAAATGAATCCTTCACATTCTTTGGCATATTCAAATGGCAACTAATTCTCTGCATGTTAGTTCTAATGACGAGTTCGTAGGGACTCGTCCTTCTACTGCTCCTCTTGAGTATACCTTTTGATTCATTGCTGACCAGAAATACTTTGGATTTTTTGGTTAAGCTATCTGTCTCTCTGAGAACACCAGAAACAGCAATTGCAAGACAGTACAGTACAGACTACATAAGCCCCATTCACAAGTTACTAAAATTTTAAAATTTGAGAGCCAGTGTGGTGCAGTGGTTAATAGAATGGGACTGGGACTGGGACGATCTGGGTTCTAGTCCCCGCTCAGCCATGGAGCCAACCGGGTGACTTTTGGCCAGTCACAGACTCTCAGCCCAACCTACCTCACAGGGTTGTTGTTGTGGGGATAAGATGGAGGAGGAGAGATGATGTAAGCTGCCTTGAGCCCTTTGTAGGAAAAAGGCAGGATGTAAATCAAAAAATAAATATAAATAAATAAATAAAACACAACACACAAGCGGGTGCTGAGCACCTACATCCCTAGCCCCAAAGCGATGCATATTACACAGTCCCACCCCTGACATTCATGCACAATGCTAGCTTCTGTAGAAAGAGAAGCTCGACAGGTACAGATGTGTGCATGACACCCTTTGTCTGAGACAGAACCCCAAAGGCACACACTTCTGGCTCGCACAGATGCCCCTTCCTACAGATGCATATACTGCATGCATCAACATTAGGGTTGGAGTTACTTGGCCCTATTACCCACTAGTACTGTTTTAACAATGCATAGGGCTGCACAGCAATAGGATGCGCAGCTCTGTGTTGAACTTAGTGAGAATTCACTGTACCCATCACAAAATGTTTGGGGCTCTGTCCTCTGTGTGGTGGACTTAGCACTTTGTTTCAAAGGGGGACTTTCCAATATCACTGGCTGAATTCATCCAAACTTATGAAGCTGCTTTATTCCAGGTTCCCATGGACCGACATGGACATAAACTGCTACTAAAGCAATTAGAGAAAGGTCACAATGGCGTGTTTAATTAATTTCTCTTCAAAAGAAGATTCACAAAGCAGATGGGCTGTGGCCATTTTAATCCTATTGAATTTTCCCCCCATTCATCTTTTGGGGATTTATTCTGCCCTACCTGACCTAATCCTTTAAGAACCCAAGCAAATTGAGGCTAGTACTGATATATCCTGATTTTATGTACTCAGAAGTCACAACTCTGGAGAGAGCTTTATGTTTTATGTCTGAGGTAATTGCTCCAGTACAAGAATAAACTGACTAGGAGTTATGAATCTCAGTCAGAATATGATACTATAGAAACTGAAAAAAAATATTTTTACAGCTCCAAGAATGTTTTGGGAAGGTTTCAAACAGCAACTAATTTGGTTTTGTTGTGTAGGAAGAGATGAGCCCAAAGTACACATTGTTTCCACATTATTGGCTTAACAGATGGTAGATTATTCCATGGAATAGTAAAAGGGGTGGGGGGAAAGATTTTAGCAAACTTTAACCTGGCTGAAAAAATTGCATCAACAGTAGTTCATTCACTGCTTTTAGACTCAATCTACTTGAACAGTATGCAGAGATGATTGATGGCACATCTACAGACAGGCTGTTCCACAAGGGCATGTTCTTTGCTTATTGTAAACACTTAACCAGCATTCCAGATCACATTTTCATATCACTTAATGCCAATATCAACTGAAACTGAAACATTTTCAATGGAATCTGCTCACACATCCATATGCAAGTTCCCAACTGTCAAGGAATGGAAAATAAAATTATGTATGTGCATAAGTGAAATTGCCAATGGTTTTCAGCTAGATGGACTCAAGCACCTCTGTTATGCAACCTCCATTTGTTTTAACAGGTATCATGGAAGAGACGCACTCAAGACCCCCTGAAATTGACAAAAAATATACAGCAGAAATGCTTACTGAATTGCATATCTTTACAATGATATGATTTTAGTCAGAAGCTGCTTATCAGAGACTTTACCAAAAGCCTACTGAAAAGCCAGATATACATTGTTTAGCAAATCTTTCCTATGCACATGCAAAAAACACATGAGCTAAACTATCCAAAGGCTTTAGATTTGGCTCATAGGTATTAGTGAGGCTAGCAAATAAACACTGTCCAGCCATTAGAGCAACCAATTGGTCCAACTCCTGTTCAGGAAATGCATAACTCAGGGGTCCACAATGTATGCCTAGTCTTAGCAGTCCAAAATATTTAAAGTCCAGGAGGAAAATAGCACAAGAAGAGATGGAGGCTGAGTGGGGAGGCGCACGCTTGCCTGCAAAGAGGAAGAGACCTAAAAGAGCAGCTCCCCAGAGAGACTGTGTTGTGTGCCCCCTCCTGATCCCAAGATATGCTTTATTCCAGGACAAGGGAAGGAAAAGAAAAGAAAACCTTGCAGGCACCTTCCACAGCTACCTATAGGTAAAGGCTGTGCAGGCCTTACCCTGCTTGTGTGGGGATGAAATGTGCGGTAACAGCAGCACATACGATGCAAGCTGCATCCCAACATCCCCCATGCTCAGCTCCCATTTCCAATTATCTCTGCATGGTTAGCGCTAAGGGGGAGCGGGCTGTGCAGCTGAACATGCTCAGAAACATCCCCATACTAGGGTCTAAAGAGGGGCAGGATGGGCAGTCCCCAATACACTTCTGGCCCTCGTGTGAGCAGGCTGAACACCCAAAACTACTGCAAGTCTTTTCTGGGTAATTTAACTGCTATAATGCAACCCATCTCCCTGCATATTCTTGCTGGCCAGGAAGAAGGACATACTCATTCCTGACCATTGGTAAGTGGATTTGTGAGGGCTTCCTGATATACTAAATGAGAAATGTAATATAGATCAATCCACTCTGGTAAGTTCTAAGCGGCTTTTAAGGATATGTGAGGTTTTGACAAATGCACACACCTAGAAAATATGGTTATCATGGCAAATGGTTCTTTGGAAGTGTCCAATAGCCTACCAATACATACATGTTGCTGCTTTGGTGTATGCATTTTAAACAAAGTAAAGTAATTTTTTGCTCTTCTAATCAGTTTTTGACCTATTAAATTATTCCCACAGAAGCTGACTTAACTAAACATATAGATCCTCTATTCTGTACTTAGTCTCATCCAGTTAATGTTTTGCAGACATATTAAAATGCTTAGTAGTCTATCACTCATATGAAGTGTCCAGCCCTGGTTACGCATAACCGCCACACAAGCAGCATCACTAAAAACATATACTGTCTTTTTTCTGATCTATCTGGGCATCTAACAGCCAGTTCACACAACCGTGTGACTGCTAAGCTAACTAGAGGAAGTCTTGCTGGTTGTAATGCAGATTGCCAACTGGTGGCAAGCTAAAGGCAGGCCTTCTGGTACGCACCTTACAAAATACCTTCCCCCAGTATTCAGAAGCTGCAAAATGTGATGTGTTTCAGGTGCATGTTAAGAGACCCATCTCTTCACCCAAGTCTTCCCTGAATGCTGCAAAATGAGTCATGCTTGCTACAATCCCTCCAGTAATGCCAATACACCCAAAGGAAATTAGATGATCCTGTTGCCAATAGCCAATGCTGCCCATTGGAAGCTTGTTAAACACATCATGTCCTCAGCATCAGAAAAGCATTTCCTTTGTAGAAATAGGCCAAGGTTTGTTACAAATACAATATTGAAATCTTAGACCTTTGAAATGCCTCATCAGCTAACTATAGAGATGGGGCCAATCAAATTGTTGCTATTGAATACACAGCATCTAGAAACTGGGATAGTTGGGATAACTCTGAATAATATGCAGAATAGTTGGAATAACTCCTGAATAATATGCAGGAGTCTATCAGGACAAATTCCAAGTGGGTTCAAACCAACATGACAAAAAGATTCCTAGATTTAGCTTCCCTGCTAAGCAGCTGCTCTCCCCATTCAGCAACTGCACTAGATTTTACTGCACTCCTCTTACAAAGCGATGTCTTCTTCTCTTACTCTCATCTTTAAGCTTCCCATTGTACCTCATATAATAGAGACACACATGGTTAGTGTTTGGTACATCATTCTGCCATGACAACAAAACATAGTCTTCTCAATTGCTTCCTTTGGGCTGACATTGTGTTGTTTGATGACTGAAATAAAATATAACACTTATGTAATGCATCAAGAGATACAAAGCTCTTGAAAAAAAACCCAGTAACTAACTCTCGCCCTTATGAGTTAATTAAGAGCTATGGTGGCCACTGAAAGAGACAAAGGGAGCCTGTAAAACTGCTCTGCAGTGCTGGATTGCTAGGCAATGCACTGACCTGGTTTTAGGAGTTTAAA